AAGGCTCCGGAGCGCGGACCCAACACGCGGCGGCCTGGGCTGGCGGCCCGGCCTACCCTCCCTTCGCGCCCGGGGCAGTCCGCTGCGACCCGGCGCGGAGTGGACGCGCGGGCCTCTGACCTGAGTCCGAGCCGGTCTCCATTCCGACGATGCCGCGCTCGGCGCCGCGAGATGCGGCCCAAAAACTGAGGCGTTCGGTGGGCCTGGCCCGGAGGAGCCGCGCGCTGCAGTCGGCGAAATGTTTGACTGAGTTGGCCCGGGCTGCCCCAGCTGGGGGAAATCCTCGAGGCTGGGCCGAAAGCCCTCTCTTTAAAGGTTTATGGTTGTCACGTTGGCCAGTCCCGACCTAAAGAAACACGCCCGTCCAAAGGAAGAGACGTAGACTCGGAAAAGTAGAGCCGGGTTCGGTGTCGACGGGAGGAAGCCCCGCCCTGCGCCTCCCGCCGAACTTCTCGGCCGCGGCGCTGACTCAGTCCCGAGAGAGCCCTGCGCTGCCCCGAGCGGACTGGACCTCAGCGTGGACCCTTGTCTGTCTTAGAGGCCACGGCAAAAGTTTCGGTTTCCGATGCCGTGGAAAACTGGGAGTTTAGCCAAGTGAAGGAAAAACATTAAGGAACATTGACTAAAAGTGAAATGACTCAAGATTTTTTAAAGTTCAAAATGAAACATATGCATGAAGTGCATAGAAGTGGCCCAAGAAATATCTTTTTCTTGAAATATCTACATTCATTTTCATAACCTAGATGACTTACAGGAATTTTCACTTTATGCCTTCAGTTTGCCTGTAAAGTTATGTAAACCTTGTAAAATGAAATTCAGACTACCACGGGGTAGTTTAAGTGTACTTTTTAAGTAACATTATTGTCCTGAGAAATTATGTAACAAAATTAGGCCTTTTTTTTTTTTTTTTTTTTACAAGAGGAAGAAAGCAAATCCTGAATAGAAATTGCACTTAATTCCTTAGGGGAGAATTCTATAAAGTCATAGTGGGTGCCCTGAAAAATGAGTATACCTCATTCAAGATGCTGCACAGCCAAGGTCAAGGTACTTAGTATTAACGGCACTTTCCTTTATAATCTTATTTTTAAAATTAACGCCAGGTTTTAAAAAAATCACCCTAGGTTTATAAAAATTTGAACTGACTCAACAATGCTGTAGAATTAAAAGTGAAAGTCTTTTCCCACTCCATCCCCACCTCCTCCCTAGAGAAAACTACACTGAAAACAATTTCCTGTACTTCCTCCAAGACCTGGTCTGTCTGCATACACATCTAGCTTTCATGAGTTTAAATCCACAAAAAAGTTCTTTAACAGTTTTCTCCCTAAATACGCTCTTACATGTTAATTCAAAAAACTCAACCTCCTTTTGTCAATTACTGCATAATATATTAAGCTACCAGTTTCTTTTTTAAATGGACATTTCCACTCTCGTTGATTTTAACTACAAAAGAAATGCACAGCGAACTATTTATAAACAGTACAAGTGTGTAAGTCCTTAGCCTCTGCATGCCCAGCATTGCCACGTTCAACTCCCAAAAAGTTATCCTTGTTATACGTTAGCCAAGACAAACTTTCCTGACCATTTGTGTAAATATGTAAAATGGCTGCACCATGAACTGGTTTGGGGAATATCTGACTTCCTATAGCTTCAAAGGGATCCTGCCAAGGCCATCTCAAATTAAGATAGAATCTAAGAAATTTATTAGGCAATTTTAACCTCTAGAAAGACCAGTTAGCAATTCTTAAGTTTTTCTATATAGAAATCTGAGTCCCTACACATGCTTGTTGAAACGAAGATGGAATCCTACTACATATGTATTTATATAATGTTTATCTTCTCACAAATACAGGCGTATTTCCATGTCATCAATGATAATAACGAACATTTGATTGTGCTTATGCAAAACGTATACTTGGACCAAGAGGCAGTTGTCAGAACAGAGCAAATAGACACTACATGGTTCAAAATTAAGAAGGGGTCCATCAGTGATGTATTTTGTCTCCATAGCTTTTCAATCTGTATGCAGAACAGATCGTCTGGGACGCTGGGCTGTACGAGGAGGAATGTGGCATAAGGATTGGTGGAAGAGTCATCAACAACCTGCGTCATGCAGATGACACAATCCTGCTTGCTGAAACTGAGGAGGACCTGAAGCACTTGCTGCAGAAGGTCAAGGACTGCAGCCTTCAATACAGATTGAAGTTCAACATCAAGAAAACAAAGATTCTCACCACTGGGCAAATTGGCAGCATCAGTATGGATGGTAAAGAGATTAAGATTACTAACAGCTTTAGTTTGCGTGGTTCCAAAATCAACACAGCCAGGAAATCAAGAGATGAATTGCATTGGGGAAAGTCCGCTGTCAGGGACCTTTCCAGAGCAACAACATCAGACTTGTGACTTAAGTGTGCCTAATCTAGACCATAGTCTTCACAACTGCTTGTTATGTTGTCAGAGAGCTGGACAATGACTAGGAATGATAGAAAGATACCTTTGAGCTGTGGTGCTGGAGAGAGTGTTGAAGATACCATGGACTGCCAGAAGAACAAATAGGTTCATCCTAGAGAGGATGAAGCCAGGCTGCTCCTTGGAGTCAAGGATTCTGAGACTTCATTTGACATCCTTTGGGTATGTTGCAAGGGGGACTGGTTCTCAGAGAGGAACATCATCTTTGGATGGGTGGAGGGATGAAGAAAGAGAGGGAGACCATCAATGAGATGGATTGATAAAGTGACTGGGGTAATGAGTGTAGGTGTGTCACTGACAGTAAAGTTGGCACAGGATAGAGCAGGTTTCAGGGCTATTGAACATAGGGTCGCTATGAATTGCAAGTAACTTGACGTCACGTAACAACAATAAATTTATTAAATAGAGCCTTTTGCCATAAGCCATTTTATATATGAACCCAGGGTATATATCCAAAGACACAAAAATAAGGGAGTAGATGGTGGACTGGGATTAAAAACAAGGTTTGTGGATCTAGGGTCCGCATTAGATGACCTAAGAAGCTGCACTGTCAACCCACAGGTTGCTCTGTGAAGAGAAAGATGGGCAATCTCTTCCCATGTGATTTACTGTCTCCGAAAAACCACTAATGGTGAGCTAGGCATCAGTTCCAACACAATAACACATAACAATAACATGTAAAGACTCAAAGCAGCCCTGGAGATGTTGTGTGCAACTTGTCAAGTTATTAACCAAGAGGGTGATGGTTTGAATCTACCTGTCCTTCCAAGGAAAAAAGTGGGAAGGATCCCCCGATAAAGATTTACAGCCTCAGAAACCAGACTCATCTTTACTCACATATTTCTGATGTCAGATTGGATCTTGGCTAAAAGCCAAGAAAATATCAGAAGGATGTCTGTTTGTGTTTTATTGACTATGCAAAGGCATATGACTATGTGAATTGTAACAAATTATGGCATTGAGCAAAATGGGAATCCCAGAACACTTACTTGTATTCATGTGAAACCTAGACCAAGAAGCTGTTGTACAAACACAGCAAAGGAATACTGCATAGTTTAAAATCAAGAAAGCTATGCATCAGAGCCATACCCTCTTTCCCTACCTATTCAATCTGTATGCAGAACAAATCATTCAAGCAGCAGAACTATGTGAAGAAGAATGTGGCATCAAGATGGAAGGAAAACTCATCAATAATCTCTATTATGCAGATGACACAACCTTGCTTACTGAAAGTGAGGAAGACTTGAAATGCTTGCTACAGAAGATCAAAGACTACAGCCTTCCATATAGGTTACATCTCAACAAGAAGAAAACAAAAATTCTTATCACTAGGCAACATCATGATAGATGGAGAAGAGATAGAAAATACCGAAGATTTCTTCTTATTTAGATCCACAATCAGCATCCTTGCCACCAGCAGCCAGGAAATCAAAAGACATATAGCTCTGAGAAAATCTGCTGTCAGGGATCTCTCCAAAGTGCTGAAGAGCAATGGTTTCAGTTTGAAGACTAAGTGTGCTTGATCCAAAGCATGATTTCTCAACCATTTCCTATGCATCTGAGAGCTGCATAATGAATAAGGAAGACAGAAGAAGAATTAATGCATTTAAGTTGTGGTGCTAGAAAAAGGCACTAAATATGCCATGGACTGCTAAGAGAATGAACAAATATGTCTTTGAGAGAGTGCAGCCAGAATGCTCTTTAGAGGGAAGGGATGGGGAAATTTTTATCTCCCGTACTTTGGGCATGATGTTAACAGGAGCCAGACCTTGCAAAAGGACATCATGTTTGGAAAGATCGAGTGTCAGTGAAGGAGAGGAAGATCCTCAATGAGATGGATTGACACAGCAACTGTAATGATGAGTTCAAATATGTCAGAGATGATGATAATGGCACAGGTTAGGGCAGGGTTAGGCTCTATTGTTCACAGGGTAACTGTGAGTCATAGCTGATTTGACGGCACTTAACATTCACATATTCCTAGTTGTGTGGCAAGTAGGCTATTAAAGTCTCATTTACATACCATAATTTCTAGCTGCTTACAATGTTTTCTAGTTATTTATGTTTAGAGCTCTGAACTCTTCTTTCTTCCAACTACTTTTTTCCCCCACTAAAAAAAGCCATATTATTTGAAACACACTGGTTCTACATAGTATGACTTTGAGATATTTAGATTATCTTATTTAGATTATCACTTGAACTTTTAAAAACATAGACAAGAAGGAAAAGAGGTGGAGAGATGAAAGAGAGTTAAGAAGAAGCCACTGAGAAGATAAAATAAAAAATTATAGAAAGCATGAAGGAGACCTTGTAGTACAAATGGTTAAAAGTTCATCTACTAACTAAAAGGTTGGCAGATCAAATTCATGCAGCTGCTCCATGAAAGAAAGATCTGAAAACACTATGGTGCAATTCTTATCATTACATGAGTTACTATGAGTCAAAAATTATTTGACAGTACATGACAACAACATGAATTTAAAAGGTTTGTTCTTTTTTTAAAAAAAAAGTTTGTTCTTTACTTTTTTAAAATGCTGGCAGACATCCTGAAAACAAGGAAAATGCAGAATTATTGAGTTACAAGAACTTGAAAAGCAAAGCATTCTTGGAACATTAATAAAGTGTAAAATTTAACATTCACTGCCAGTGGGTTATTATTTCACTCACTGTGGAATAATTTCTCCTGAATAGCTAATGTCCAGGCCATTAATCCTAACATCAAGAAATAAGATTAAGGGGAGCTCTGGTGGTCTAGTGGAAAGGAGCTGCAACTACAATCCCAGAGGCGCAAGGTTCAAATCCACCAGATGCTCTGCCGGGAAAGGAGGGACAAACTCCTCCTGTACCAGTCAGATCTGATTTGACGGTACACTCACACAAAAATAAAAAAAAA